AGATGACAGTAATCACTGCCAATAGTTTTGAATGCTCACCATAGTCCTTTGTATACATTATCTTCATTAAACTTTGAAACAACCTAAGAGGTGGGTACCCTTGTGATCTTTAGTTTACAAGTGAGGAAACTGAGATACAGAGAGGTTATGTAGCTTTCCATGGTCACATATAGGAAGTGGCAGGTTCAGGATTTGAATTGAAGACATTTGAGTCCAAAATTCATGCTCTTAACCATTATGCCAAGAATATAGCTTCCCAGAGGGAAGAGCCTAACTTTCATACAAGTGGCCACTAACTCATTTCAGGACTTCTCTTGAGTTGTGGGACTTGTTAGGAGACACAGGGAGCAAGGTTGTGGCTTGAACATAGAGGGCATAGTAGAGGGATGGCCCCCAAAGTCAGATTTGCCTCCCTCGTTAGAAGCAAGGATGGTGAGACTTGGTCTCTCGTACTTTGGACATGTTGTCAGGAAGGACCAGTTCCTGGAGAAGGACATCATGCTTGGTAAAGCGGAAGGTCAGAAAAACAGAGAATGATCCCTAACAAGATGGAGTGACACTGTAGCAGCAACAGTGGGCTCAGACAGAACAGCAATTGTGAGGATGGCACAGGACCGGGCAGTGTTTCCTTCTGTTGTACACAGTGTTGCTATGAGTTGGAAATGACTTGATGGCACATAACAACAACAACAGATCCTGACAGATGAGGAATGATCTGATGGCAGATCATCTCCCACTAATTGGCTTAGCAAACCATGTTTATTCAGGCAAAGCTGGGGCCCAGTGAGTTCAAGATTATGTAAAGCAGGATTTATGGCTTACTGCTTTGCTGCCCATGGGGTCAGAGGAGACAGAGTTAGGACTTTAATTGGCTTAACAATCCTGAGTGGTTTAAAAGCTCAAAGGCTGAGAGGAGTGGTGGTGAAGACACAGGTGGATCTGTTTGAACTTCTCCCAGGAATTCAGTCTGTTTCTAAGTGGGGACATTGCTCTGTGCTTCTCCCAGCACAGTTCGGAGGCACAGCTTGGGCTTGAGGGTTAGACAAACACTATGATGGCACCTCATCTCTCCCCCATTGTCTCAGTGGATGACCTTGGACAAGTTACTTTCCTTATCTGATAAATGGGTTTGTCAATAACCACCAAAAGGAAGATCTCAAGGTAACACAAGATTCATGCCTAGAGCACCTCACCTGGGTCCCGCTAGGACATGATGGAGTGGAGTGGCTGGCTGTTCTTTCCCTTCCTTGGAGTCTCATGTTATGTTTAAATTCATCCTAACAACACCCTTCTCATAAGGTTGTTTAAGAATAAAATAAAATCCTATATGTGAATGGACCTTATCAACTGTGAAGAGCTAGACCAGAGATTTCAGAGGATGAGTCACAAATGAGTTTTCTATGGATTACACCATTTAATCTTAATTAGTAGTTGAAAACTGGGAGAATTCACACAAGAATTCCAATCTCCCATTTCTCTTGAAAAACCAAGATGTGATACCAGGTCTGCTATTTCTCATGGAGATGCATAGTAAATGCCATTTCTCTAGGACACTACTTTTCCCATAATGTCCTCGTACTTGACACTCTATGTGTCTTATGGTTTGTGTTACCTGCCTGGATTCTCAAAGTATTTGAGCTTTTGACTCAGCATTATACAAGTGTGAGGAGCTGCAATCTAGCTTTATGATTAAAACCATGATTCCAGAATCAGGGGCATGGGATCAGGAGTTGAACCATTGGAGTCTCCCAGTTTTGATGCTGGAGGACTCAGACACACATCTCCTTCCTCATCACTGCTTAGAACATCTGCATCAAATCCTATTGAACAGTGAACCTGTTCAATGTGAGAACATTTCTCATGGTAAGTAAGCATGCTGTGCCAACATTGCTTAATTTCTAGGAATTTCAGACACAGCGTTATTTTTGTACCTTCTCTGGATTTCCCTCTTCCTTACTCTTCCTCCCACCTTCCTTTACCATTTAGCTAGACTCTCAGCCATTTTGAAATCCAAAGTCAAATAATTTTCAGGACAGTGGCCCAGATGGACTGTGAAGGTTTGAGATCTAGTAACTAGATTCAGAGTCAAAACTTCAGATGAAGGAGGGCTTTTAAGGTCAAGAGGTCTAATGGTCTCATTTCACATACAGGGAAACTGAGACCTAGAGATGGGAAGAACCTTGCTCAAGGTCACCCAGCAAGCTAGTTACAAACCAAAAGGAAGATGTAGGTCTCCAGACCCTACTCCACCTACTCCCAATCGAGCATTAGTTTCCCATACTGACACTGTTTGTACATCATACCTGCCCCACCCACTCCCTATTCAGCACTTTTCCCACAATAACACGTGGCTTCCCATCCTTACTTAGGTAAGGGGTTCAACTTCCTCCCTAGCTTTTCATATTCTTATCTTAATGTAGCAGAAGCCCTGGCTTTCTATCCTTCTGGAATCTTGGGATCTCAGGCTCATAATTCTTCAAGCTTGAGGACGCTTTAGTGACAACATTGCGGAATGGTTCAGTTGCAATTGGGCTTTGAAGACTGAGTCTTGAGACCCAATCCTCCACTCCCTAACTGAGTGACCTTGGAAAGGAGGCTCCATATTTGAGCCTCATCCCCTCATCATAGTTAAGTTGTTATTTTGTGCCATGGAGTTGGTTCTGACGCATAGCGACCCCGTAGAGGGTTTCCAAGGCTGTAAATCTTTATGGGAGCAAAAAGCCTCATCTTTCTCTGGTGGAACAGCTGGTAGTTTCGCACTGCTGACCTTGCGGTTCGCAGCCCAATTAGTAACCACTATGCTACCAGAGCTCCTTATCATAGCTAAGTAGGAACTATTATATTAACCTCATCACAGGATTATTAGGATACAGGTAAAAAGATTTGGCTAAGTGTGAGTGCTTGATAAGATAATGGTTATAGAATTGTAAATCTAGGATGTCAAACTTCAATGACCAAGTAAAATGGATCAGTCCAGTGGAAACTGGACCAACGGAAGCAATTATTATTGTCTGTATTAAGTGTTACAGGCAGTTACTACTAGATCCTTTTTTTTTATGAAGCCAGGACTCTGGGTTTAAAAAATATTATGCGAGTCAAACAAACCACTTCTGTAGGCCAAAATCAGCCCAAAGGCCATTAGTCTGTAATCCTTGCAAAATCATATCATCCCAACTCCCTTACTTTACATAAGAGAAAATGGAAATAGCTAGTTAGCCCTTCTATCTAAGAAACCATGGAGTTCAGTGGACCCATCTCCAGCCACTCCTCTGAGATCTCCCCCCAAAACAATCAGTATTTTCCATACTTGAAAAAAAACTCAATTAAAAATCAAGAAAGGAGAGAAATGTCAATTCTGATCATTGGATTCTGAACAAGAGGAGGAAGTAGGACTTAAGGTAGTCTGTAAGTCGAGGGGCAGTGACTTTAGGCAGAAGAGAAAGGAGGATGAAGCCTTGGCTACCAAGAATAGGAAGTTACCATGTCAGGATCTAAAAATACCTTTTGCCATCTGTCCACTTGGACATAGAATAATAAATGCAGATTAGTTCCTGGATGTAGACATGAATATTTTTATGTGTCAAACTAATAATAATAATAACAACACCTTGTATGGAGAGAGCTTCACATCCCTTCCTTCCCCCCTCCCCCCACAGGGCAAGCTAAGTGGAATATACACCATCCTGGCAAACCAAGGTAGAGAAGGGGAAACCAAGGCAGAGAGAGATTCAGCAATACAAGGGGTGACACAGCAAAAGGGCAACTGGGACAAATCCTGGAAGTCCTGTTCTCAACCCTCAGTCCAGAATTGAATCTTCTGAGCTAGTCAAAAGGCATTCACAAATAGCAGAATAAATATAATAACAGTGATAATTACCCTTCACATCTCTATAGCATCTTCCCCATGCTATCCACACATCTGCTACAATCATGATCATTCACTTTATTCCTAAGTAAATATGTTACAGTGTGCAAGGCCCTCACAAGACACTCTCATCTGACCATTCCAACAGGTAAGAAATATGTGATGGTAGACCAATGAGATTAAAAAAAAGTAGGTACTTCTCCCTCATTTCACAGGTGAGGAAACTGAGAATTGCAGTGAGAAAAGGATTTCCCCAAGATCACACAGTAAGCAAGTTTATCCTGTCATGAAATTTCCTGTCAGTGGACAGTAGTCCCTAAACTACTAGAACAGTTCTGATTCAAGGAAACCCCTCCAAAATTAACTCAGCATGGCAGGCACCTTCAATCCTAGCAGAGGAAGTGGCCAGTTGAACAATCCTCAGTTTTCTCTTGCTGTCCTGGGATTAAAGGGCAGCTAGTGGCAATCCAATTTCAGATTCAAGAACCCAAATCTCCTTGGCCCTGTTGAGGGTAGGGAAGGCAGCGCTAGGGGAGTGCTAGGAAGCAGAAGGAGTCAGAAAATTTCCCAGCTGGATGTAGCACACCATTTCCCAAAAAAGTCTGAGAAGTTTGAGTAGGATATTCATTTAGCTGCTTCAGATTTTGTGTCTCCTGGGAGGTAGGAAATGGGCCAGAATTCAGAACTGAGAATCTTTGAAAGCAGGGAAGGACTTTCCTATACCCAGACTCAACAGGCAAGGAGAAACGAGTGGACTGGGTCTGGAGAGTCCTGAGGTTCTGGTTCAAGCATCACACTCATCCCCATCAACACCAGACCCTTCTTACTCACACCTCCTCTCCTCTCCCTCCTTGCCCCTCTTCTATCCCTTCTTGCCCTTCTTCCTCAGTCCCCATTCCTCAGTGGTCATATCAGACAGGTTGGCATTGGGGTTGGTCAGGGTTTGGGGGCAGAGGTCAAGGAAGGAGCGGGGAAAGAAGAAATCAGAGTTCCAATTGGGTGGGGCGTGGTGTGGTGGAGGTCAGGACTGGGGTGGTTCTGAAGGAATCAAAGCCCGGCCGCGTTGGGGTGGCAGGCCAGCCTTTGGACATCCCCACTCCTTTGACTCCGCTCCATTCACCAGCGACTTCCCTACCTCCAGACTTGACCGAGCTGCAGGAGGTGAACGAGGGTCTGCAGCAGCCAGATGCAGAGGCGGCAACAGCCGCGGCGGTAGGAGTTTGCGGAAGAGGGCGCAGGCCGGGAGTCCACCTCGGGGCTGCCTTCTTTCGTCCTGAAGGCGATGGCGCTGTCCTTGGTGCTGATGGCGGACCCACGGGCACTGCTGTCCTTGGTGCTGACGGCTGGTCCCGGGGCCCCCGCTGGCTCCGTGTAGTCGTAGACAAACCAACGGAAGCTGAGCAACTGCACGACCAGCGAGGGCAGAAGCACGAACAGCAGCGTAAGGCCGAAGTAGGTGCGTTGGCCCTGAATGTAGTAGGAGGCCGCCAGCCACAGGTCCGTGGCGCCGTCGGAGAAGAACACGAGCAGCGCGCACAGCACCCAGCAGCAGTCCCGCAGCTCGTAGCGCGGCCCTGGGCCACCTGCCCCGGTCACCCCAGCGCCGCCGGTCACCGCCGCTGCCTCCCTGTGTCCTCCTGCACCGCCCCGAGCTCCTCCGGGCGCCCCCTCCGGCCCCGGGCCGGCCGCGGCCGCCGCTCCATCCGACTTCGCGGCCATGTTGGCGGAGCAGGAGGCAGAGAGCGACTTCCGGGCGGCGGAGGCGGGTGGCGGGGTGGGGAGGACCCTGTGCGGGCGGCTCCCGCCTCCTTCTCTTCTTCCTCCTTCTCCTCCTCTTCTTCCTCCCCTCTCCTTCAATTATTCATTCCCCTCGGCGCCGCCCCCGCCCCTCCCCATCGCTCCCAGGTTGTGACCGGATGGGAGCAGCCCCCTTGGGAAAGGAAAGAAGAAGAGGAGAGGGAGGGGAGAGGAGAGCAACCTAGGTCACCCTCTCCCTCCTTCCTCAGAGGCTTGGGGCCCAAGCCACATGCTTTCTATCTCTCTCTCTTCCCCCATAACACACTTCATTTCCTTCTTTTCTTTACCACCGCCTTCTCCGTACTCCCTCTTCCATTTATTACACTGTTTACCTCTGGTGTTGAGATCTAAGCGAGGTGTAGGACCAGGGACGTGGGAATAAGGAGTCCTAATTTCTCAATTGTTCTCTTATTATTCCATGCCCTCCTTTGATCCTGAGTGGTTCCTTTTCTTATTGTCTTCATTTTAAAGGCGAGGAAACTGCAGCTCTAAGAAGTGTGCTGTGTCTACGCTACTTTATCCTTCTCTACTTTCCTCTTCTCCTCCTTCAGGCACTGCCTGCTTCTGACCAGCCCTAGTAGAGTGCAGGCAGGGAAGGGGGCACCACCAGAGGGAAAGGGATGGGAGGAAATACCAGGCTGAGGAAACTGCAAGTGCAAAGGTTTGGGGATCTGGTGGCATTATTTCAAGGAAGTCTGGATCTGAATATGGGGAAATGAAAAACAGTTTGGGAAAGAGGAGACTGGGGAGATCTGGGAGATGAAATTCTAAAGGCTTTAACCTGGAGGCCTGGGGAAGGGGCCACTGCAGAGTTTGAGCAGAGTCAAGTCTGGATTTGCAAAGAAGACCCTGCAGCCAGAGCAGAGAAGCGATCAGAGGGGTAGGGACCAGAGGGAGATGATAACCATGATTTATGAGATAGGGTGGGGTCCCTCACAGCCTGGATAACTCCAGCTCATCCTACTCCCTTCCTTTCTTCAGATTGGACCTAGTAGCCAGTGTCCCAGGACAGGACATTTATTTTCCAAACACACACTTAGCTGTCTCTCTGAGCTCTATCAACTCATTCTATCCTCACAACATTCTTTTTTCTCCCATTTTATAGAATAGAAGTTCATGAAATTGTTCAGAGTCACACAGGAAGTGCTGAACCAAATTCAGGCCCATCCAAAATACAGTTTGCTGCCTCCCAAGGAGAGAAGAGGAAATGAGGGGAGGAGGAGAGATGAGTGGACCACCCTGCCTCAGAGTAGTAGGAAAGGGAAGATGAAGGGAGACAGCTGTCCTGGGTCACAAACTAGCAGCCATCTGCAGCCCTGCAGCCCAGCATCCCTTTCATGTCCAGAGACTACTTTGGTCCCAACAATGCTCAGGAGATTGAGGCACCAGCTGTTGCCCAAGCAGAACACAGAAATGAAGCATCAGAGTTTTCAGGGAGCTCTTAGGCTGGATTCAAGGCTGACAGTCTCCTATCCATGGGTATGTGTAGACTAGCAGGAATTTCTGTGAGGTAAACTGGAGGGGAGTCTGGAACTCAATGTGATTTAAGGAGGCACAACATCTCTTCCTTTTCTTTTTTTCCATCATCCCTGGGGAGACCCATGTAGTGCACAGATCTCTAGATCAATGAGAACCTGCCCTTGTGGCCTGGGGACAGTTCCTGTATATCTGGACCTCTGCCTTTTCACAGATGCTTGCATGGGGCCTGTCAGAGTTAGGTGTCCATCTTTGGGATTCACGCCCTCAATGCCTCAATCCACTCCTTTTACTTCCTATGGCTCTCCATATCATTTAAGTAGGCAGTAGGAAGCAGGACTCCGGAGCCAGGAAGCCTGGATTTGAAATCCACCGGTCCCTTCCTGGTTGCCTGAGCTTAGGTAAGTCACTTGATTTCCTCACAAACAGCAGCCTGAAGCTGAAGTAGGTGCGCCAACCCTGAATGTTGTGGTCACAATCCGTGACACTATCAGAGTTGCTCCCAGCTCCCAGCAGCAGTTTGGCTCATAGCTTTACTTCAGAGAAAAGTGAAATAAGGGCCAGTTTTCCACTTGGGGTTGTGATGAGGATAATTAATGCTAATTATTTCCTGAGGTGAAGCCCTTCTGGTTGGACAACACAGCTGCACCCTGCTCCCCACCCCCTCTGATAAGTTCCCTGACATTCCCCTATCATGAGCTTCCATGACCCTTAGTCTTTTCCATCTTACCATTGTCCAATAGCAATTTAGTTTTTACATCTGTTTGTCCAGAATACCCTGGGAGACCCATGAGGATTGAGACAATTTCTTTTTTTCCCCACCACCAAATTTCCAGTGCTCAGCACAGAGCCTGGCACTCAAATCTTTTATAAAAATTGTTGAATGAATGAGTGATCAACCCAACAAAATAGTTTCCATTACTCTCCCCATATTACACATGAAGTAACTGATTCAAACAAGGGCACTGACTTACGAAATTATCAAGCAGCGTCCATCAGTGGTGCTAAGTACTTTATCTGTATGATCCCATGTGAATTAACTGAGACTCAGAGAGGTGCTGTCATTTGCCCAGTGACCATTAGTTAGGAAGTAGCAGAGTTGGCATTCAAACCCAGTCTTCCATGCTAGAATCCAGGCAACCAGGAGAGGTGACAGGAAGGATTTGATGAGAGTCTAAAGTATCATTTGGAATGACCCAACTGTCAGGGGTGCTAGGTGGGACTTTGCCATAAGGGAGTTTGGACTGGTGTGTTCTGAGTGGCCTGCAGTCCAGTAGGGAAGAACAGTGGATAGGGGCAGTTTAAATGAAGATTCTGTGATGAGATGAGCCAGGCACATTCCATGGCTAACAGACTGAGTCTGGCTAGTGGAAGGAGAAGGTGGTCAGAGCTGAGTAGGTCCTTTGATATCTCATTCAGTTCCCTAAGCCCACTCAGATTTTACAGAAGGGGAAACTGAGGCCCAGAGAGAAGTCCCATAGCTAGCAAGTGACAGAAAGAAATCTGTAGATGGTCCTGGTTAGTCTCCTTGCCCTCTTCTCAAAGATCTAGGTGCCTGGCTCTGCTGGGAACCACAGCCATTATTATATCGCTTCAATCACTCTGAAATTCCTTAATGCTTTTATCTTTGTTTTCTCCAAGGAAGACAATAAGTAAACAGACCTCTGGAGATCAAAGGAAGGGATGGAATAGTATTCCTGGGTCATCTAGAGATTCTGCTGAGGGCCTAGTTCATGTGGACTGCACCTTCTGCTCGGGCCAGTTCCTAATAATATCCCTTGTGTTGATGCGTGTTAATGCACTGGACTGCAAAGTCCTTTTGAACCACAAGGTTGGTGATTCAAGCTCATCAGTCACTCCTCAGAAACCCTATATAAGGTCACTTCACAACAACACCTAATGCCTACTGAATATTTGCACCTGGGAAAAGTATGCAAAGGCAGTTGATAAAATATTGTTTATAACAGCAAACTATTTGGAAGAACCCTGATGTCCATCAGTAGGGGGCTGGCGAAATCAACCATGGACTGACCATGGACTGGCCTGTAACAGAATAAGAGACGATGAGGCTCTCTATGTTGTACTATGGAAAGGCCTCCCTGGGGGAAAGTGATGGGTATAGGCAGGAGTGGAAAGGTGGGAGGGCTCCTAATCTTTATTGCTTATGCAAAACTCTAGGTTTGCATGAGAAACATAGACAAGATTACTGAAGAGAGAAGTAGGCAGAAGGGAAACAAGGATGGGAGGCAGACTTCATTATATGAGGGTTAGTAAAAAAGAATTGTTATTAGGATTCTACTTCATATAAGCAAAGGTTTATTCCAGACAAGAAGTGTTTAAACATGTCTCTGTCATCAGTGGATGGCTGCAGACAAGTTCTCTCAGTAATTACACTTTTTTTAGTCTCATTGTTGTTGTTAAGTGCCTTCAAGTAGGTTCTGATTCATAGCAGCTCTGCATAGGGTTTCCAAGGAGTAGCTGGTGAGTTAGTCTCATTAGGGTACCTTAAAAA